AACAAGCAATCCTGATGACACGTACAAATTAGACAGAATTTGATTCCCTCCAGTGCATTGATGAACCAGTAGAGACAAATCAGCAACCATAATTTCTGAGTAGTAAATTACTTTCCTACACAGGCTAGTGCTGGAGGCACTCTTTAGGACTGGAACATCCTTTTCAGTGAGAATGTGGCTCTGAAGAAGTCCCTAAAGAACAGCCTCTGCAAAACAGATTAAAATATAAACAAGGCTATTGATACCATATTTTGTTCTAGCACTGTTGGCAAAGTAACAGGGAATGAAGTGGTAGCCATGAAGCTGAAATTTAAAACTTCTCTGTAGCAAAGACCTTTTAATTTTAAAACTTCCCTTCCATTTTCTTTTCCTTTCAGATTGACTTCTACTTGGCAAGATGCAGAAGGAGAAGCATAAAGGCTATTTAGTGCATAGCCACTCCATGGGACCCAAGGGGGACTCTGGAATCAAGAAATCAGTCTTGCATTTTTTACCAGCAGGAGCTGACAGAACTTGTGGGCAAGGAAAACGGGTACAAGAGTTAGGGCCCAAGTGCTGACAAATCAGTAAAATGACAAAGTGGCCATCAGTGGAGCTGACCTAAGACACTCAACCAGCAGGTTTGGATTCTGTCTTTTCTGTATTAGTGTACTATAAGCCTAGCAGACACTGAGACAACACTTTCCAGTGAAGTGTGTCTTTTTTAGGCAGAAAATTCACTTTATGTGAAGACTGCAGATCACAAATGCATTTTGTGACAAATAGACGTATGCAAATTAACTTTTTGTGATTTGACAAGCCCTACTGAGGAATCTTGTGAAGACAGGCAGAGAGAGCTGGGGCCATTTAGTCTAGAGAGGAGAAGGCTGAGAGGAGCCCTATTCTGGGAGCCTTCTGCCAGCATTACTCTTTATAGCTAAAATGAAATGCTGCACCTTCTATTTTCAGTAACACCTGTCTTGTTTCTTCTCAGTAGATCACAGTTATCTGAACTTGAAAACCAGTATAACTTTATTTGGTTATTTTAAACAAGGAAGATTTAACTTAAAACTTGTACATTTTTTGTTTCCAACATCCTGCCTTTTTTGCCTATCAAACTGAAATCACGATAAGAAGAATCTTGAATCAAGAAAGTAAATTTTAGTATTGTACCCCTATTTTAAAGACAGAGATACAAAGAAATTTACCAATTGATATTATTAAAAGATTTCTCTAAAGGAAATGGTTCACCATTTTCTCTAGAGAATGATTACATAAAAGGTCATAGCAGATGTGACCTACTGAAGTGATGGTAATTTCCACCAGGTTTTAGTAGGCTTGGAAAACACTCTATTGCAATCCTGATGCAGAAGTCAATATTTTTATTAAGTACCTAAAGACATGAGATTAGGAAAGAATCTGCACAGATTTCATTGTATACAACACTGGAGGAATGTTTTCTAGATTAAACATTTGAAAAGATAGAAACAAACATTCTATTTTTAACTAGACTTTCAATTTAATTGCCAAGTTTTATATAAAACATCAGCAACATTAACAGATGGAGGGGATTCCTATTAGCCTAGGAATAATTATGATTCCAAATACTAACCAAAGGCTGTAACTCAGAGGTTCCATAATCCCCTTCTGCAGCTCTGAGCACCTACTTCTACTTTTCTTGAGTCATCTCTACAACCTTATTCCACAGGCAGGCAGCCAGCATCTATCTACAATACAATCATCATTACCCTGACTACTTTATCCTTTATCTCTGCAATGTATTTCTACCTCAGATTTATGCAAAAGCTTTAGAAATAACACTTTTAGGCACAGTGTACTAAATGTCTCAGTCATTTTTAATTTCTGCACTTGATTACACCAAAGTCAATGTCAAATTAAGTATCATATTTGCAATTTAAATTATTCTAATCTCTTATTTTAGCTCACATTTCTGTATCAAATTACTGTTGGGGACCTACCCTTTGTTGGTGAACTTCCTGTGACTGTACAGCTCTTACAGAATGCAATTCCACTTTAATGGCATACAAAGGCCACACTTAAGTTATTCAATTATGATATATGATACTAAGATCCAATTGAGTGTGCTTGCTATTTAACTTTTCTGTTCAAACTACACTATTTATCTGTTATAAAATCTATTTAAGAAAATTATTAATTGAGATGTTATTTCTATTGTGAAATTGCAATTTTTTGAAGTTGTCAGTACTCAAAAGAATAACTAATATAGTATCTTTTTTATCTCATATGAAACAGAAGATATTTTATGGAATTTAAAATTAGTTTTTTAACTTTTCCATGTATTAAAAATCTGAATCAGAAAAGAAGAATTGCTTTCCTTCATGAACAGCATTTTCATTTCATCATTAACTTATCCTTGACCAAACACCATATAGACAGCAATATCATAAGCAATGTTTATGAAACAAGTGGGAATTCTGTTGATTATTTCATTGGAAAAACATACAGTGCAATACAAGGGCAAACTAATCTGGAGCAATTTTCATCGGTGTAAAGCTCAAAAGTGCTGCAGTGCTGAGGTTTCTTTCTTTTTGTATAAGAACTGAAAATTTAGGGTTGTTTGTATTATTAAAGATAATTCTACATTCCCTGTGGAAAATCTCATATGAAAGAAAACTCACATGTATATTACCAAATATAATTGGCTAAGTGAATAAGTTCAGGAAAAAAAGTAAGGACAAAGAAGTGCTTGATTTTATCTAGCAGTCCTGCAATGTTCATTAAGTCAAAATTAGTTAACCTGATAAATTTTGTATATAATCTAAACTTCCTAACAGTAACATTTGTCTTCTCATATCCCAATCTAGTTCTAAGGTGTGATTTTATTTAGCATATCTAATGAGTGATTTACTGGCTAAGGTATACTATTTTTACATCTGTGGTATTAAAATGATATTGTTGCAGAGGTTTTGTCACAATGAAAGCTGGAATAATATGAAAAGAGCTTCCAGATACTCCATGAACACTGGACCTGCTGGATATGAAAGTGAAAGAGCATATGCATTCCTAACATGGCTAGAGAATTTCTTCTTTGCCAATGCAGTATTTTACTGCAGTATTTGACAGTGCACTCCTATACAGAGGTGGTTATTTTCATGTTCAAATTTGCAAAATTTCATTGCTTTCTGAGCTCTGTAATGACATCCCTTTTCACTCCAGTCACTCTACTCATGTACCCACCCTATTCCTCTTCCCATTCTTTATATTTGACTTCTGAAATTATAACATCTTATTAGGCTATTAGGTTCTTAATTAAAAGAAAATTAATCTAAGTACCCTCTTTATCCCTTCAGATCTCAGTGGTATCAGGGTTTCCCTTTGCAATGAAATCTAATATGGTGTCAGAAGACTTTTGCTGCCACTATTCTCAGCATTTTATGCCTGTTAAGTTTGAGCAGTGTCCTGAGCCAGCGAACAAAACCAGTTATGGAAATCAAATATAGAACTTTAGGTGTTGCCAAGTACAATTTAGATATAAGCCCAAATAAACAGTCCAGGAAGAAAATACTATATACTTGCATTTTGAAAGCACACAAACCTGCAGTAGTTTTTATTGAAATAAAAAGTCAGAAGAGAGACAAGGCAGCAACCCTCTTATTGAGAAATGCAAAGACAAAGTTTCAGACAGCTTTGTGGGTTGTGTGTCTCATTAACTAGATTTAACCATGTTCCCATTTAGTGTGGGACCTTTAGGCTATACTTTGGAGACCCATAATTCCAGCTCTCAAAATTATCTTTGGCAAATTTTTAGGTGTAACAATACTGAAACTTTATGATGTCTCCAGATCTTTCTTTTATTTCTACTTATTTATGCTTTGTACAATTCTTAGCATTGAGAAAGATATTTATGAAAGGCATAATTTGTGTAAGACTACAAAACATAAAGGAACTATGTCACATGCATAATATACATTAAAATATACCAATAAGCCCAGCATTAACACTCCTACTCTATTAACTTCTGTTAGAGAAAGTAAATACTCGTCCTCATTGTCCTGCCAACAGTTTTTTCTCTGAGTAATACCAAAGATAACCTATGAGTTCTCAGATTTCTCAAGCCTGCTATTTTTTATGGCCAAGAACATTTCTTGATATTATCAGTATCAAATTATGACATTACTTGACATGATTTTATGAGTGGAGTTCCAGAATTTATCAAATGTCACCTTTACAAAGGTCTGGGTAGACTTATACAAGGAATATAAAATGCAACTCCTTTTTTTTTCCACATACTTTTAGACACCATCTGCTCCTGCAAACAGGAAAAGCATATCTGCTAGCTAGCATTATGAAAAGTGTATACAAGTGACCACAAGTAAATTTACATGAGGCCTGCTGAAGAAAGGCCATTAGACTGAAAGCAGGAAATATGGGTAAACAGTGAATCCTGCATTTAGATGGTCTAACTTAAATTTGTTCAGTTCATGATCAGTTAATCCTGAAAATGTTTAGTGTTAAAGTAGCAACAAAAGCCTAAGTTTTCTTCATACAATAAAGAGAAAATGAAATTAAAACACCCATATCCATTACTGTATTTCGTATGCATAATATATGGAATAATATATATCATTCAAAATTTTTATTTGACTTCTTTTATAAAAGTCTGATTCTTTTGATTTTTTTTAGACATCTTTATTTACCACACTCAGAACTAGCAACTTTTGTCCTAGAGTAATTTTTTTTATTCTACTATGCAGACAGACATTTTTCTAAGAAAGAAGCTATATAAAACTATCCTGACAATGTGTACAGAATTAAAGATTCAAAAATAAATTAAAAGGTACAACCACAATTGTCTTTTTACAGTTTGCAGTTTATCTTCAGATTCAGAGCAGTGTTTATGAATCACCCATGAGAATTACACTCATCTCTACTTCAAGAATCACCTGTCTGTTTGCCGATGGCATGTATTAATCAGAGTCTTATTTTCAAATATTACACTTGAGTTTGAATGACATTTAGGCAAAAATTAAAAATCTTACCTTCAAAAACTCTGAATGCTTTCTTGCAGCTTGGTAGAGGCCATTTAGCAGAATTGGATTTTTGAAAATTTTCCTTTAAATTCAAATATTCCACAGGGAAAAAAGATCTGGTAGAGTTATTCAGATCTACAATAATTAAGGGGAAAGAATACATAGATCAATGCTCTAAATAAAGCATAATAATAATTTGCATAAATTTACACAAAATAAAAAATGCCATATCTACTGTGTAATTCTTCTGTTTATAACATCTATTTTTTAAAAATCACATTTATGCAACCATTTCCATACATAGCGAGAGCAAGTTGTAATTCTGCTTCTTTGGAAAAAAAAATTAGAAAAGATTATGTCATTATGATAATTTCTGGCAAAATTATGCATTTAAGAAATCAAGCTATTTAACTTACAAAACTATTATGATCTCTCTTAATAAAAATTATATCCATAAAAATGACTGTGGTATTAATTCTCAGCTTTTTGTTTAACATCACCATTCAGTAATAGTCAGTAATGCAAAGAAAGGGGAAGAACCTGAAATTATTTTTAGATTTTAAAAAGTACTTTGGATTAACAGGAAGTTAATAATGTTAATTAATTAATCCTGTTAATTAATTATTTTATAAGTTTTTAAAAAATCATTTGTAGGATGATTCATGATACATTGCAGGAGTTTGCATTATGCACTAATCTCAAGAAATCAACATCTTCTCAGTGTATAATTTGGGGAAATACCTACATGGTTGCAACTTAAAACTGCCAAACTAAGATATTCATAGCAATGCAATGGAAAACTAAAAACAACAGTATTTTCCTAACATAGAATTGATCAACTGATAACAAACAGGGTTGCTAAGGTAGTAGTTAACAAGAAAAACTTCAACCCCCTGCTCATCAATTTGTGCCTCCAAACCAAGATGGCTCCAGATAAATATTAATAGTAGCTGGTACCATAATTCTTTCTGTACCTTCAAAGTAAGAAAAGACATTCACAGGATTTTTGAGAAGGTTTTTTTTATTACTTCATGTGGTCCAATGTAATGGAACATGCTTTTCCAATAATAAATATTTTATGAAAGGATAAAATCTTTTTCTCTGGCCAATTTAAGAAAGCTAAGCTTTTTGTGAGCAGGCTCCAAAAAGAAGAAAAAATGCCTCTGCTTCTAGTAGCTTTTTCTGTGTAAGATGAAGACATTAACAGATTTGAAGTAAAAACCCCAGGCTAGTTTGATTCTAAAAATTATCCTTTATTTCACCATGTCACAGTGCAAGTGGCATGGAGCTACACAATACATGAAGAGCACAGAATCTTCAAATCCTCCATCTCGTTATGTGAAAATAGAGCTACTGCACATATAAACTGCTGTCACTGAAGGAAAAAGGGCCTTTTCTCTCCAAAATCTAAAATGAACAAATTGTGTATTTTTCACTACTGTATTTAAATTTTTATGAAGGAGCTTTATATGCTACTGAACATATTTGGATTAAGTACTATTGAGATTCAGTCTTTTCATGAGACTCTGCTTGCTTCTCACAGCACAGAGAACATTTTATTTTCCTGCTACAGACCACAGAAATCAACACAGTTCTTTCAATTTTATTCAAATTTAAATACTGAAACCTCTGGTGAGGCATCTAATTCCTGTTTCTCAGAAAAAACAGTGGTGACAAGTCTTACTGGCTTCTAGAAGCCTGCTTGGCTGGGCTTTCAATGAAAGATCCCCTCAGGCCGGCCAGGTCACCTGTCCCTCTACCGGTACATGACCCTCTTTCCCTGCCACGTGCCTGGACCTCCCTTGCACAATCACTACCCTCAATCTGTATTTCTCCAAAGCGGGGGATTTATTGCACATGTGTGTCAGATCTGGCCCTTCTTGCAAACAACATAAATGAAATTTTTATTAATGGAAGTGCAGAAGATCACTCCGTCCCTGTAAGTGAAGCATTTAAAAGATGCTTCTTTTAAGTTAAGTTATTTGATGGAATCAGCTCAAGAGCTGTTTTCTTAGGTGTATCCTGGGCACATTGTCATCTGATCAGATGTGAGTTTATTGTGATGGGAGAAGGGCTTCTAAGAAAGCCTTTAAGAAAGATAGGAACACATAGTAAACACCATAGAACAACCTATCTGGACTGGAACTCATGCTTAAGGGATCCTGTAAAAAAGGCTCAGCTGACCAAGGCAACTGGCCAGAGGAATTGCCTTTGTGAGTCAAATATGGCTTTGTAGCTCTCAGTTAAACACTGATTTTCTCCATAATTGATGGATAATTGATCTCTTAGCCCTTTTTTGACACGTTACATGCATCCTTCTGTTGCAGTTATGTTCAGTCAGCAAAACTGTACAAGCTAAAGAGTGAACTTCTGAGTATATCCTTAAATTCTTTTCTTTTTGACAAATCTTTGTAAAATATATGTACTCACACATATTTTACAAAAGGAAAGCTGCAGAGAGCATCGAAAATAAATTAATGAGGGACATAAAACATCCCAGCTGCAGCATTAGAGAAGTATGTAAAGACTACAAGCAACTTTGCTTTGTTACCTGCACAAACCTATAGTAGCAGTGACTTAAGCATAAGTTTTTAAAGGCTTAATAACTCTTCTGAGTGGAAAAAAATACCAAATTACTATGCTTTACATTGCTCTGGCACCATTCATCTTCTTAATGTGCTGCTTTTACTAATTCCTCTGAGGATACAATATCATCATCAACACCCCTTAGTTAATTTAAAAGTTGTTAGGTATGTTATACACTGGAATATTTCAAAATATTTTTCTTAGTATATACAATAAAACAAAGCTAAATTACTGTACCTATTTTTAAATATCTTGCTAAGTCAAGCACATATTGCTATATACTGAATGGCAATATACAAATAGCTGCAGATTTCTCTCATCTGAAGTAGTTAATACAAAACATATTATATACTGTTATGGCCCACTATTTATAGTAGACTATATTTACAAATCTATGATACCTTATGTTCTCCTTAGGCACATAATTCTTCTTCCTCAAAAGAGCTACATACGTATTTAATATTTTAAGAGTGGGTAAGGTTGAATGGGATGTCTTGAGAACAGCTAGTCCAACCTGCTCTGGCAGGGTCAGCTGCACAGGGGCCCAGAACCAGCTGGGTTTTGACGGGTGTTCAGCAGCCTCTCTGACCAGACTTCTTGACATTCTCACACAAAAAAAAAGCTCTTTCTTGTGTTCAGATGGGATCTGTTGTGTTTGAATTCATACCGAATGCCTTTTGTGTTGGCAGTGAGCACCACTCAAAAGAATCTGGCTCCTTCCTCTTCACTCCCTCCCACCAGGCATTTTTACACATTGTATGTTAGATACGCAAAGGCTACAAATAATCCTAGTAATATTTCACTTAGAAAACTATAACATGTTGAAAAGTTTTGCAAATACATTTTAGAAAGCATCTTTATTCTACTTTTGTGCTCTCCCAGTGGTAATTTTCTGCAGCAAATCTGCTAAATTGGTTTTTTAAAATTTAAATAGCCCTAGAAAAACCTAACTATCTATCAGTGAAACACACTTCATCTGTACATCAAATTGAAGGGAGCATCAAACATTAGGAAAATGAAATGAGAACAGCTTGAAATCTCTATACAGCAGACAGGCAGGGGTTGAGAGTGCTCAGGCTGCAGCTTTCTGCCCATTTTCTCTGCTGCAGTGCATCAGTGCAGACATAGCCAGTCTCTAACCCTGGCAACCAGCAGCTGCTCAGTGAATCACCTTGAGGCAATAGGTTCACCTGAAAAATGCTTCCTTCCCATCCAAATGAGTTCTTTATCCCAGTCAGTTCCTCAAACTGACCTGCCATCAAATCATACAAAGTTAGGTCTGTTCAAAAGCAGAGTCTGTGGACAACCAGAAACAGAAGTGGGCAGCTCTGCTGATCAATGTGAAACCATACTTGAGTCTGCATCCCTAACCTGCCATCATCACAGCACTCACAACAGCTTAAAGAGGATCTCTGCAAGATCTCTGCAGCGTCTAAAATGAAACAAACACTCCTGCATGGCTGAGTCATTTCCATTACTTTGTGAACTGTCTATGCACAGTTTTAAGTGCTGTAAATGACCTGACTCCAGATAAATGGTGCAATTTTATCAATGGCACCTGAATCCACCATATAAGCTTTGGACATAAAAGACTGACTCACGCTGTTCCAGATATTCTAGCTGCAGAACTACTTACCCTCTTCTATTTCTATACCCAATCTGACACCAAACACCCTACCCACCATATTTTCCAACTGTTAAGAGTTAGGAACACTAGAGATGAGGGTATAGGAGGCTAGGACAGGAGAATTTAAGAAGATGATCAAGGGTTGAAGAAGATGATCTCCAAGCCTTTAATTGTCTCTAAATTTAATGTCGTAAATGAAAAGAGCATTTTTTTTGTGTGCGCCATGAAGTGAGCAATTTTGAAAATACTTTTCCATTAGGATAGTTTGAGAAATGTTTATTATGTTTTGAGCTTGTTATTATTCAGGAAGAAGAAACAAAAGAATTCTACTAGAAAAGAAAGCAATCAGAATCTCATTTCTAAAATAAAAAGTTTAAAAGTACATGTCCTGAATAGCTACTTGTCATTGAAGAGAACCTGCATGGAATGTTATTAGGAGATGTTAAATGGAAAGAAAATCTCACAGTGGATTAACATTACCAAAATTTGCTCTGAATGCATACAGGAAGGAAAAGTACAAATAATTTTTTTTTGTAAAAAATAAAAAAGTGCAAAATCTTTCATTTCTATACCTGTTTGGAAAAAAACTCTGGCAATTGTAGTGCGACACAGTGGACATGGAGTGCTGGTTGGATTGTCTTTGGCAAGCATCCTTAAACAAGGTTCACAAAAGATATGGTGGCATGGATAGCACATGTAAGGGTTGAAATAAACATCCAGACACACAGCACAGAGATAGCTTTCTTTATCTCCTCTGAGTTCCTGCTCATCATCTGTATGCAGGTTATCATTTGCAGGCTGCAAGAAGAAAAAGAGAACATATTTTCACATTCAGCTCATAACTATTTTTGATAAACCAATCGTCCAGAAGATCATTTTCAGTAATGGTTAAGAAGATTAATATCACACACGTGATATTCTTAAATTTAATACAGGTTAATACTTTTAAAAAGATGATGAAACATAAAACAGGAATATCAGAAAAAGTCCTCTGTGGGAAAGACGAAAAATCACAAGGCAGTAAAAGAAGGAAGTAACAAAACCAAAACGGCTAAGTAAAACTCTATTATGATCAGATTTCTTATTTTAAAATTAATTTTTACAGTTAATATGTATCTGCATTACAAAAAGGCAGAAACATAGAATGGTATGGCTTGAATGGGACCTTAAAGATCATCTAGTTTCTACCTTCCTGCCATGTGCTAGATACCTTTCTTGTGACTAGGCTGATCAGTACATCTGTAACTTCTCTGGTCAAACTGTTACAGTGCCTCACCACCCTCAAAATAAATTTTTTTTACTTAGTATCATATCTGAACTTACCCTACTGCAGACTGAAGTCATGTCTCCTTGTTCTATCACTACATGTCCTTGTAAATATTCTCTCTCCATCCTTTACGCTCCCTTCAGGCACTAAATGGCCATAATTACATCACCCTTAAGCCTTCTCTTTTCCAACCAAATACTGAACAAACAAAACCACACTTTGAACAAATCAAATACTCAGTCTCCATTCCTCTAATTATTTTGGCAGCCTCGTCGGAACCTGCTCCAGCAGTTCCATGTCCTTCCTGTGCTGTGCCCCCAGAGCTGATGCAGCCCTGCAGGTGGGGTCTCAGCAGAGCAGAGCAGAGCAGAGCAGAGGGGCAGAATCCCCTCCCTGCCCTGCTGCCCACCCTGCTCTGGATGCAGCCCAGGACACGTGTGGCTCTCTGGGCTGGCAGTGCCCATGGCTGGGGCATGTCCAGCCTCTCAGCCACCAGCACCCCCCAGCCCTTCTGGGCAGGGCTCTTGATTCCTTCATGCCTCAGCTTGTACTGATATCAGGACTTGCTCCAACCAGTGCACATTTCACTTGGTCTTACTAAACCTCAAGAGATTGCTGTGCACCCACTTTTTGAGTTTGTGCATGCTCCTCTGGATGGCATCCCATCCTTCAGGTGCAAAAATACCTTTGCTGTGCCAAGAAAGGCAAAAAAAAACCCTCTAAAAATAAACTGTGAATGGTTCTGCCTTTGAAAATTAATTTGTGAATGTTTATGTTTGTAATTGAATAATTACTTAATGTTCCAGCAAGAATGAGTTCAAAACAAGCCACAACTTTATTACTACAAAGCTCAGTATAAACCTTAGAGTAGAAAGTATAGGAACTCTTATCTTCTTTGGTAACTGCTTGCTTTTGTCAGCACATGTGCTCCAAATTTCCTTGCACTGCTATATTTGTAGGAAGACATAGCTAGACTTCCCAAATGGTGCTCATCCTATGTGAATGTAACAACTGGGATGCATTGCCATGTTCTGGCTTTGCTCCTGTAAGATGACTAAACCTTTCCAAGTAATCTGAAGATCTGTTATTTATGGCACCTGGGTTTTTGGCTGTCAGGATTTAGGAATGGTACTCTTCAATTTAGTGCTTCCACTGAGATTCTCCAAACCATGTGCCACTCAACTCGTTTCCCCTCCCCTCTGTGGAGGGCTGGAGAGGAGAATGGGAGGCACAAAAGGTGAAGATCACTGACTGAGATAAGAACAAAAACTGGGAATGGCAGTGAGATAAGAATATGAACAGTAACAGTAACAATACTAAAGGCATATATATGTAAGTATAAGGAAAACCATGGTTATTGTTCACTGTGGAAACCCCTGGCATAAATACCCCACTGCTCCCTCTGGCTCAGAACCAGTGCCACCTGACTGCCCCCTCCAGCTTGGAACCGATGTTATCCAACCCTCCCTCCAGCTCAGAACCTGCACCACACTTACTCAACTGGAAGGAAGCCCTTCTCTTTGGAAGAGACTCTCTTTCCCCGACCCCAGCAATGACACAAGGTAGAATAGAATAATCCTTGAAGAGCTTAGCCATGCCCTCTCCTGACTACTGCAAAAGTTAACTCTATGGAATGAGGATATTGGGTTAAAGAAGCAACCAATCTTTTATTCATTATGGGAGACACTCAGAAGACATTTACTATGCTCTCCCTCTTCTATGCATCTTCTTTGTTTCTGTTTCTGGTTTTCTCTTTCACAGATCACAGAACCCAATATACTGCAATAACCAAGAGATCCACCACGATAAACCAAGATAGGAGCCTATCAAGACACTGCTGAGCGTCAAAACTCTTCATCCCCCTTACTCCAAAGTCCCAATCCTTGCCTCCCCTGTGCAGCTGTGGTGAGAAGTGATAGAGAAGCTTTGGTGGCTGCCTGGAGTCCAGCCAGGGTCAATCCAACACACTATGCATTACAGAGGCCTGCTCCATTTTGACACTCATAGGCCATGACAGACCACTACTGCCTGACACTGGTACCAAAAGTTAATGACAATTGTTAATATTGGGGTTATGTAGATATGGAAATCTATAGATGTTTCATAGAAGATTACATTTATGGCTTATTACACTTATGGCTTATACTTATGGTTTGGATTGCTGTGTTTCTCATTACTCCCAAAGACTATCTCTCTCTACAGGAATTACTGAACTCTGCAAATAGTGAGTAAATCCTTAACAGTATGCAATACAATACTGTGGATCGCATTAAAAATACAGAAAAATTCAGCCAGGATTTATCTGTTCTGGACAAGCATTTGTCCTGTCGTTCTACCTTAGCCTTTGCATTGCACTTTCCAGGATATTATGTGGCAAGAGTGCTTGTAAATTCTGAGCTGCTGTGCCAAAACCACATTGCACTGTGTCCAATCACAAGGTCTTGTACAACCATTATTGTCAGTAACTGTTTCTCCTACCTTAGAACTTAGTCTAAGAACTGTCAAGAACAGTTTCTATTACCTTAGAACTTACTGCTCCAGCTTGATTTTCTTCACTTGACAGGGCTGAAGAAAACTTCGGTGTGTACTGAAATTTACAACAGGAGCAACTAGGATGTACTGATAAGCAGGAAGCACAAGTCTGGCTGCACTAACAGCCGCAGAAACTAGATACAGACAGGAACAGCTTGACACCATTACTTCCAGCTCCATGCTGTAGGAAAGGTTCTTAAGACAACATTAAATACTAGAGTATTACAACTATCAGTAAAACTGTTTAACTCAGACTGTCTCTACACTTACAGCACAGAAAACCCACACCAGAACAGAATGGCAAAGGGTAAAAGAATTTATTACAGCTAAGTAATTTTAGAATGAAGGAAGCTTCATTATACCATTTCTTTGGGAAAAAAAGTGGCAAATAATTTCGCAGAGAAAGTGAGGAAAGTAATCTCAGGTAATTACATGACCGATGACTTCAGCAGAAAGCAGGAAATACTAATACACTGTGAAAGCCCCCTCCAATGCTGCCACATTGGCAGGTCAGAATTAAGTGTTTGAACTCAATCTTAAATGTCTTTTCCAACCTAAGTGACCCTATGATCCTATGCAATGTCAAAAACATAATTAAAATCTAGAACAAAAACAATATACAGAAAGCTTTTGCTAACTGGTTTTGATGAGAAGTGTTTGGAAAGAAAATACACCTTGTGTCTAGAAGAGCTGACTGCAAGATAAATGCATTTAAAATGGCAATTAGGTAACTCAGAAGCTAGAGGCAAAACTTCTGAGGACTCACAGGTAACAGCTGGTTCTGAGACAGATTTGCAATAATGGTAAGATGCATGGACAGAGGTATCTAGAACCAATTGCAACTATCAAAAGTTGCAATTTGATCAAAAGATCAAAATTATTCTAATGTGCAAACAAGATCTAATTAGGAGTAATTTTCTTAGTGGAAGAGATGTCTTTTCTACAGCTTTGTGCCCCTTTTCAAAAGATCTATGTAGGCACATGGCATTATTCAGAACTGCAAAGCTAAAAACCGAGTAACTTCCTTGTGCAAGATCCTAATGCACAAAAATTTAAAAAGTCATTATTTTTTTAGTTTGCAATTAAGTGGTGCCTATATATATTACTAGAGCCAGGGCTTTAGTGTATGAAAACTTAACAAGCATAAACCAGGTTGGTTTTCTTACAGGATTATAGTAAGAACAAAATTAAGAAAGTACATGTAAACATCAAGGACAGTGAAAGATTGTCAAATAATAACAGAAAAGGCTGGAAAGCAAAACTACTGCTCCTGAGAAATGAAGGAAAGGTAAGAGCCTTTCATCTTCCCACACTGATTGGGAGCTGCTAATGCGGCCTTGACAGTAATCCCTATATAGGGGGACATCTATAGTGGGACATCTGAAGGATATTAATGAAAGAGAGGAATCAACTTCTGCTTGAGAAGCCTATAAAGCATGTTAAGGAACAAGGAGTCTGATACAGCAGTGGTTGAGAAAGGGCATGAAACTATGAAATATGGATATTGGAGCTTGTGAGAAGTCTCTGCTACTGGACTACAGGAAAGTAGTTGGTTCAGTTTCACATTCAGAAAGAATACATGCATCACTGGATATCTAATGCAACACATTATCTAATGTATGGTTTACCTGCAATCATATGAAAGACACAGACCAAGTGGTCATACACATAAGAAAAGATTTTGTATGAAAGCTATCAGTAAAAGGAAGTTTAGAGTAAAACCTGGAAGCATGATCAAAACAGTGGCAAAACCAAATAAGGCACATATGTCAATTGACAAAGTTGCCCTATTGTGAAAAAAACCCCAACCTACAAAACCATTCATTTTCAAATGACCTACTCAGAATGCCTTGTTATCTCAAAAATGTCCACAGTTGAAAGGAATGATGACTGAGGGAAAATCAGTTATATATTTCACATTATTATCTTGCAAAGAAAACTGCCTCTAGAATGATTTTTAGCTCTAAACCAGACTTTAACTCTTCAATTATAATGCAGA